GGGGCTGGGGTATTGCTCCGATGCTTCACAGGTTTCTGTGGTGCTTCAGACAAAAATGAACAGGAAGAAAGGCCTGGTGATCCACTTTTGAAAACCAGTCAGCGAGGACCCTGTGGATCACAACAGAGCATTATCCAGTCCACAACAGATCATGGGCAGGCTGCAAAGCCAGGGAGCACGTCATCGCTTTGCGTGTGCCTTTGGCATTAGTCAGGGCTGGCTTGAGGTTGGCTGACACCAACAGCAGAACAGGGAAAGCACTAAAACTAAGGTGACCAGACGTCCCGCTCTTGGCGGGACAGTCCCGATTTTTAACAATTTGTCCTGCATCCCGCAGCGTTTTTTAAAAGTCCCGATTTTTTGAAAGAATGCACGACAAGCTAGGGTATACGGTTTTCGGCTGCCATGTGGTTATTTCGCCAGGATATGAGTTTTATCAATGGTGTCCCGCTTTACCAATGTTAAAATCTGGTCACCTTACAAACCCAAAGGCCTGAGTTCTCATCCTTCCCCAGTCCGTCGATCTCTATGTGATGGGACAAGGCCCTTATTTCTCAGAGTCCCTGGAGTCCACCTGGTTGCATCTTCTTAGACATTTGCTTGGGCGGTAGGTGAGTCTCCTCATTGACAGGAGTGCAAAGGACAAGTGTAGATGTTCTATCACACAGGCAGGCTTGTTTGTTTTGTTTTGTTTTGAGGGTACCTTAGAATCACAGGTGACACACTTTAAACCAGTCATTCTCAACCAAGAGTGATTTTAGACCACCTCCCCGACAGCCCCTGGGCCAGGCCATCAAAGCCTGTGCCAATTTGGGGCATCACAATTTGGTGTAAACACAAGCCAAGGATGGTGCGAATTACCCAGTAAGACATAGGATACCCCCAACCCCCAACAGAATTAAAAAAAATCATATCACTGCCAACAAGTTGAGGCCAACTCATGCCAACCTGGTAGGAGAGAGTAGACCTACTCCCCCTCCCCACCACATGTCCACGTGCGCGCACACACACAGACAGACACACACACACACAGACAGACACACACACACACACACGCGCGCGCGCGCGCTAGAGTTTCTGAGACTGCCACCTTTACAGACCAGACTGCTGTGTCTTTCTCCTGTCACTTAGCGGGCAGCCGAGCACTTAACTGCTGCACCACCCAGGCTCCCAAACATACCCAACGATCAACAAGTGCTGCTGGTGGGCACTCCTGCTTTAAGCTGTGAAAATATGTTGTGAGTTTTCCTCACTTTGTCTTCAGAGCTAGTCAGACACCAAGAGACCTAATTTCCAATGAGAAGCAGGCTCACCTTGGGCATTGAATAATTACAAAGCTGGCTCTGAATCTCTACAGAACTTATTTCATCGCTGTGAGCCTCGGTTTCCTCGTCTGTATGGTGGGACCAATGAAAAGCAATAGAGTCCTGAGGGGGAGCCGACGCACGGGAACCCTCTCGGGCTCCATCTAGGACTCCCGATGGCTCAGTGATTGACTCAGAGCTTTCAACCCCTTTCATGCTGCTCCCTGAAGAGAGGGAAACAGCCCAGGGACTCCCTTCTTGCTATTCGGGAAGCCGACTTTGCTGGGTTCTTTCCAAAATCCTCACCACAGCTGTGAAAACCACATTCTAATAATGGACTGTGCTTTCCTTTCTTCCAGAAGTGCGTGTGGAACCTCATAAGAAGCAGCTGCATGTGACCCTGGCTTACCACTTCCAAGCTAGCCACCTCCCCACCCTAGAGAAACTAGCTCAGAACATTGACGTGAAGCTTGGATGTGACTGGGTGGCCACCATATTCTCTCGGGACATCCGATTTGCTAACCACGAGGTAATGTCTGACTCAGACCCCAGATTGCATTGGGGTGCAGATTGGACCCTCCCAATCAGAACCAGGAGTGCTTGCTCCACAGTGCTGCCAGGAGAAGGCTAAAAAAGGAAGCCAGGAAGTGAATACCAAGAGTCGGTTGACCCAAACTTTTGTCCAGGCTCTGTCTAACACAGAGGGAGGCAGCAGGCTCACATCTCTCCTCCCTGGCTCCCAGATGACTCCTATCCCTATCATTCCCACGATTGTCTGCCTGACCTTCTTTCATTAAGAGAAATATAAAAATGACATGGGAGAATAGATAGAAAACTCTTTTGGAAAATGCTTACTTGCACGTAAATTCACAGTGTGAGTAGATAGACAGCATCATCCTGACCTTAGCTGAGGAAAGCATGTCAGTTCCAGTGGCCTACAAACAAATCAACATTTGTCGAATGTCATCTATCCCATACAAGGTGGCATGGAACTCAGTCCTCAAGAAGCCTTGATGTCAGGAGGGAACGAGGACAGATATGCATCCACTTGCCGTGGGGGCCGTTCTGACTCCGGGGGACCCGGGTGTGTCGGAGGAGAGCCGCGCTCCATGGGGTTTTCAAAGGTTGCTTTTTAGGAAGTAGATCGCCAGACCTTTCTTCCAAGGCACTTTGGGCGGATTCTAACCCTCAGTCTTGCCGATGGCAGCTGCGCACTGAGCATTTGCAGCAGCAAAAACTCCTGAGAGCAGACACGCATGCAAAGGAAACGCAGGGCAGAGTCTGTGTGCATCACAATGGGGGCAAGAATGGACCCACAGGACCCAGCGCAAGCGCCAGGACTGGGATGGTCCTAGCATCCCGCTTTCAAGGAATCCTCACTGCATTTTCCCACTGGACGGGAAATGACGTGGTCTTTTTTTTTTTTAACCTGAAGGAGAAACGTAGACTGAAAGAGATAAAATAACTGGCCCAAAGCTAAGTAGCAAGTTAGGAGCAGAGCTAAAGTGCCCAGGGACCTTGATCAAGGAAGGCCAGCCTTCCATCTAAAAAGACCCCAACCCAGCCCATAATTTACTGAAAAAAGTATGTCTACCAAGAAGATTATACTTAATATATTTGCCCTCCAATTGTTCATCCGCAGAAGTACTGATGCATTTGTGGATGTAACCTTTTAAAATCTCTTTTAGAATTTTTTTTAACATGAAACAGAAGCTCAGGCAGGTAGGTTGACTTGTCGAAACCAGGCTTCCTCCTCATCGTGTTGGAGAGGTGAGAAGGAGCTGCCAGTGGCTCTGGGGCTGAGGACCGGGCCTGGGCTGGGGGTGTCAAGACTTGCAGGTTCATCGGATTTGGCTGATGAGGGTGTTCGGGCCTCCTGTGACTCATTTGATGTAAGGTTCTGCAGACACAATATCCAGACTTGGCTGCTCCTACTTAAGTAGCCTGACCGCCCTTGAAATTGCTTAGGACAAACCTAAAGATAGCAGAGGGGAGTGGCTGTTGGGGAGCGTTTCACTCAGTCTGAGAGAAAGGGAGGGGTGGGCGGTATGCCAGGGCTTACATGCAGATGGATGCCCAAAAGGCACCCTTCTAGAGACAGAAGATGGCAGTGGAATTTTACAAGGATGAGCCTCTAATTGACACTGCCCTCCAGTCAACGCACGGGGCAATTGCTTTCCTGCCTGACCCACATTCTGCTCACTTGGCATGGAGGGAAAGAGGCAGCAAACGCCCACGTTAATTATTTTCTAAAAATAACTTGGCCTCTTTTATCTCTTATTTGTAAAAGCTCATTTATTACTGTTCCTTCAGATCATATAAAGCTCTTCTCCGCCTCTCTCTCCCTCGGAAGCCTTTTGACAGGACCAGAGCCCTCCAGACATATGTGACTGCTTCTCTTCCTCGCATACCTCTTCCTCCCTGTCCCCAGGAGGCAGGTGTGATGGACTGCACCAGGGGCCTGTCCAGAGCAGGAAATCGTTTTGGCCAAAGATGGTCAGTGGCATGCCAGGAGCCTTAGGAGAATGCCTGGGTCTCATCCCTTTACTCTTTAGACAGCTTACCTGCTTTGAATTTGCAAATGCCCTTGTGTACTTCGCCTTCCCTGTGTGATGCAAATGGATAATGCACTTGGTTGCGAAGCAAAAGGTTGATGGTTCTAGTCTACCAAGAAGCTCCTTGTGGAAGGGGGGGCCTGGTGGTCTAGTTCCCAAACATCAGCCACTGAAAGATTTTGGAGCTGTTCAACTCTGACACATGGGGTTGCTTGACAGCAACTCCCTCACTGCCATCGAGTCTTTGCCAACTCCCGGGGACCCAAGAGGGCAGGGTAGAACTGCCCACCCGTGACTTTCTAAGACGGCAACTGTTAACACGAGTAGAAAGTCCTCTCTTCTGAGGAGCGGCTAGCAGTTCGAACTGCTGACCTGTGGATTGCAGTCCAGTTTGTAGCTACGACACCACCAGGGCTCGTGGCAGTGACTCGTCCAGGTTCTAGGTCAGCGGTGTTCAACCTATGGGTGGTGACCGCTTTGGGGGTCAAACTACCTTTTCACAGGGGTCGCCCGATTCATCACAGTAGCAAAATGACAGTGATGAAGGAGCAACGAAATGATTTCATGGTTGGGGGTCACCACCACCTGAGGACCTGCATGAAAGGGTCGTGGCATGAGGAAGGTGGAGAACCGCTGTTCCAGGTGATAGGAGGAATCGGCTCCCTCCTGAAGCCACATCGTGTTTCTCAAGGGACGGGCAGGTGTGGACCAAAGACATCCCCAGTCAAGACGATCCTCTGCTTGAGGACCTGCGATGCAGGAGCTTGGACTTGTCTCCGGGGTCTAGATTCGGTGCCCGTCTCTCCCTGTTCAAAGGGAAGGAATGTTGCCTTAGGAGGATTGGCACCGAACCAGCGTCTACATTTCAGAGTTTTTTGTGATTTTTTTTTGTTCTCCTTAAGTTGTTTTTACAGCCCAGCAGAAGGAACGTCCCGGTCCGTTTAGGAGAGCTCGTTGCGTAGGTGGCGAGCATTGGTAGTGCAGCCAGGTCTGGAACGAAGAGGCCATGCAAAAAAGACTTCGGGGAAAGAACGGATGCCCTAAATGAAGGAAAATTAGAAATCCAGAGGGGCGAACAACTTCTGTGCCTGGTCTCTTCCATACTTGGAGAAAAATCACATAATATTGGCTCCTCTCCTTAGAGACTTCCAGAAGGAAATTTCTCCTAATACATGTTCTGATGAATCACCTTGATAACTGTGGGCTGATTAGCTCGTGGCCGACCTAGCACAGGACCAGGGCTCAGGGTTGGCTAGGAGGAAGGAGTTGACCTGGGGAGATGGAGAAGCATGTCTTATTAGAAATAATTTAGCTCCTTCTAGGTGCAAGGCTCTCTCCTACAAAGTTTTCTTAAATGGTTACTCTTTTTTTTTTTTTAATGAGGCCAACCTGAACCAGAATCCTTAGCCTGCCATGGATGACTTTGAGATTGAGGGACGGCTGTGAACGCCTTCTCCGCTGTAGTATTCCTTGTTAAATGGGACCGAAACAATGCCCTCACGATTAAAGCCTCCTGCTATCATCCATTGTACATGGGTAAAATCAGTGTTTTCTGAAGTATAGATGACCCCCTGGCTCTGCGATGTGCTTCATAAACAGGAGAGGAAGGGACAAGAAGGAGTCACCCCGCAGGAGACCTGGCCTGTGGGGCGGGCGGCGCTAGGCCTTCTTCTGAGCCCAGGGAAGGAGCGTGTGTGGCCGCCATCTGTTCCCTGATGGAAGCTGCTCACACGGGGCTGCACACAGTTCTCACAGGTTTAAAGAAAGCTCCTTGAAGGCAGGGGCCGTGCCTTGTGCAAGCAGCTGAGTGCCCTCAGAAGAGGAAGACTTGCTTCCCCCTTCCTTCCTCCGGGCCCTCTGTGAATCCCATGGGGAGACTGACTCCCCCAGCAGCTGTGTAGCCGTTTCCTGGAAGGCCTGTGGGTTTTTCAGATCGATGACTCAAAGCTGCATCTGAGCCATGATGGCAAGCGAAGACATGCCTGAGGGAGCTCTGGAACCATCCGGTAGCACCGGGCACACGCCCACAGGGCCCCCCAAAGAGAAGAAATGTCTTTGGTCTGAATCCGGCTTTCCTGAGTCTGTAGACCCCGCTGGCCCCTGTCACTGTCACCATCTGGATGTGTGTCCTGCTCGTGCAGGACACAGGCCCACACCGGAAGCGTGGCCGGCCTCCACTCTTACTGGCCCCTCTCTCCCTTTGCAGACATTGCAGGTGATCTACCCGTACACCCCCCAGAATGACGACGAGCTGGAGCTGGTCCCTGGAGACTTCCTCTTCATGGCCCCCATGGAGCAGACCAGTACCAGCGAAGGCTGGCTCCATGGCACATCCCTGACCACTGGCTGCTCCGGGCTCCTGCCTGAGAATTACATCACCAAGGCCGACGAGTGCAGCACCTGGGTGTTTCACGGGTAAGCGAACTCGAAGGCCCGCACCTGCTACGTTGTGTAGAGCACTACCCTGGCCAGCTCCCAGGAAGGGGCCGGGGCACGGACTGGATCACACACCGCGGCAGTAACGGTAAATGGAGACCAGGAGGAAGAAGGCTCTGTTGGTTGCAGACTGCCAGGACACAAGTTGGCTTGGGGCATTGGGGAAATGACTGGTGGGTCATTCTGCCCATACCATTTGATAGAATTAGCCACCTGAGTTCTTGGCCCAGGATTAAGCCAAAGCTGCTTGGGGGTCTCTCTCTTCTGGCTGAAGTGTGGTATCAATCCAGTACTTCTTTGTTTAGAGGGGGAGAGGGGAGCAGGCCAGCACGTTTTTAGAGGTAAGGGGGATTTGTATATTTATAACATCATCTACAGTCCATACTGGTCAAACATTTCATTAACTCACCCCTAATGCGGCACGGCTTCTCTGGAGAGGTGAGTGGCATGAGCTGGTATTAAGGAGTTTACAGGCCCTATATGGACCACCCCACCTCTGCTTTAGGGCATTGTTTGGGGCATGGCTTAGGATGGCCTGACTCTGCCAGGTAGCTGGGCAGAATATACAGATATAGTCATACACCACTGAGTCACTTCCAACCTGTGGCAGCCCATGTGTGCAAGCTCAGGGCCATGGCATACTGTAAAACTCCACTGAGTCACTTCCAACCTGTGGCAGCCCATGTGTGCAAGCTCAGGGCCATCGCATACTGTAAAACTCCACTGAGTCACTTCCAACCTGTGGCAGCCCATGTGTGCAAGCTCAGGGCCATGG